AAAAAGAACACGCATCATTTTCATTTTTACCTGTGCACACAGAATTATTTGGATTAACAGCCAAGTAAAACGAAAATACAGAGTGAAAATGTACGGGTTCACTTACTTTTGAACATCTTAGTTGTTAATCTTAATTATTTTTTTTTATTCCAGCTGGAAAAAAAGTTTTTGAAATTGGTTGTAATTCGTTTAATAAACGTTTTTTCTTCATGACATATAGGTTAAGATTTGTTTTTTATCTGAAAATAAGAGATATTTTTTAAATAGTATAGAGTTTCACTTACTTTTGCGCAGCATTGTGTATATATATATATATATATATATATATATATATATGTGTGTGTGTGTGTTTGTGTGTGTGTGTGTGTGTTGTGCGCGCACGTATGTGTCTGTGTGTGTTCAGTATTTAGCGGATATAGTAGAAATCACCTCTCAGTGGTGATTGGCAGTTGGATACCTTAAAAAGCTTTTAATACCTTAGATGTGTAAATAAATATATATATATATATATATATATATATATATATATATATATATATATAGTAGCATGTCCTGCCGTTTTCCGTGCTTCATTCAAAAAAATCGTACGACTCATACAGCAATCACTATCACTTGACTTAAAAATAATTTTGCCCTTCCTTGCCTTTAAAGGAGTGCCCTTTGCCATGCTGATGTTGCTACATGCCTTACTTCTTGCCTATCTCACACTGCGAATTTTTTCTAAGCCCTATACTAAACATTAAATATGTTACAAAAAATGATCTAAACAAAATGAACACAAAACGAGCAAGTTTAAAAAAGGACACGTAACTGGAAAAACCGAATGAAAAAAGAATGTTAACAACAAATACTTTTTCACACCCAGCCCAGTTCTGCGGAATCAGAATCAATGTTGAGCAAGCGAATGAGCCAATTGGAGTAAAGTGTCATGCAAATTTAAATTTTTCCCACTTGTGACGAATGCAGCTATCGATTTTTTTTGCATGATAGCATGCTAGTTTACATTCGTGTCAGTCAGCTGTTGGCTCTCACGCTGGGCAATAGAATCTTCCTGCATATTCGTGGCAGCCAGCTATTGGCTCTCACTCTGGCCGGTACAAAATGGCCGCAAACTACATGAAAAGTGCCGTAGAAGTATGAAAAAATCGATTATTTCCACTATGGATGGGAGTTGGGAAATGCAAAGTCGGTCTTGGCCTTCCCGCTAACTTGGAGCATGTGCATGTAAATTTTGGTGCAAATCTGTCGAAAATAGCGGCAGTGTATTCGTTACACACATACACACACATCCTACCTTTTATAGATAGAGATATTATATTCAATATATGAATTTTACGAAATATATATATATATATATATATATATGATTCCCACTAAGGAAGGTAGTAAAGGTACTAAAATACAAGAGCTTACTGAGAGTGAAAGAATTAAGAAATAGAAATATTATTAGATAGCAAGAACAATATAAATTGATCAGAAAGATGGTAGATTAGAGTTGGCTGGAAATCATGGGGATGGAAGAATGTTTCACAATAGACAAGTGCGAGAAAAGAAATTGTTAACATAGAATTTACTGTTGCGTCTAGCCAATTCAATTGTAAATTAATAGGACCTTGTTACCAATCAAGTACTTCGTTTGAATTCATAAAGTCTAGATACGGTAAACGAAGAGCTTATCCCAACAATTAAGATGAAAGAAAGTATTTATAGAGAAACCACAGGGGAGCAACTTTTCGGCGGTGTGACGTCGTCCCCACTGGTCGCAGCGTCGACTGTGTCGTTCGATTCCGTTCGCGACGCCAGCTGTTCGCTCCTCGCTGCTCCAAGTGTGACGTTCTAACCCTTTGGTTAGATGAATACCAGCCTCGTCGTTCCCAACCAGCTTCCAACGCCTGGTTACCAGGGTAACTGCACTGATCTCCGGTCTGCCTACCCACGTTGTGATTAGATCTTAGACAGACGGGATCAAACAGGGATTGGGCCGTATGCAAGCTGAGTCCAACGGGGGTGATAACACACAAGAAAAATAAAAACTCACAAGGTCAAAAATATTGAAGAAAAAGGTAACAACTTTTTATATCTAATTGCTCGTTACACAAGATTATTCCTACCTCCCGACCCGTTCTGTGGACCGTGGCACCACGCTTCTACCATACAACTTTAAGGCTTCGAGTTGCTTGCTCTCTAGAAATTTGCATTTCGGGGTGTGGTTTGGTTTCAACACTGGGCGCTGATCTCTACCTGTCGTTCACGGCTGATTTCTCTCGCCGTCCGTGGCTGCAACTGACTCTCTCTTCAGAGTCTGAATTATTGTTCACTCATCTCCACTGTCAGTGCGCGAATTAACTTCTTCTCTTCGGCTTCGGTTGGACGAGCTTATTCACTTCGGCTTGGGTTGGACGAATTTCTTCACTTCGGTTTGATTCCAACTTCTCCACTTAGGCCAAACGGACCGGCCTTTCTTGCCGCAAAGGGGACGAATGAACAGGACCCGCCGTCCGCGCTGCAACTCCCTCGCCGTCCGCGGCGCAACTGCAACTGATCTCTGTCGGTTGGGGTCCTGCTTTTATTGACGCAGTCAAAAACTGGGGTGGGTCTGTCGGCGCCAGGGTTTTCTTGATAATTCTAAAGACGTATTATTTCTGATTAGGGATTTTCCATTTTCGGTAACTTACTTTCCTCCTACTTCCTTACTGTGCCTCTGGGGGCGTATACCCGCTTCCCTGGTCCTTCGTATGTCAGGTGACCGCTCTCGACCAATGGGTTCCTGGTCGGGCATCTTTCCTCCTCCCTCGCACATCATGTGACCGCTCTCGGCCAATGAGACTCTGGTCGGTATCTTTCCTCCTTCCTTCGTGACGTCTTTAATCGGGCGTGGACAATCCGTGGCTTTGTTCTGGGGGAAGAAACACCTTGCTTAAAGAAATAAAAATTTAAATTGTCCTTTTCGTACGAAAATGACGATCCCGGTTTCTTTTACACGCGGTATTTGTCAAACATCCTATCGCTAATTGGATACGATCTAAGAAAGGGATTTCTTAGACCTGTCGGCGTTTCTCTGAACGCAACAAAATATTTCATTCTCCTCCGGCCGATAATAAAAATCTGTATTATCTCAAAAAAGGGACATCACCTTGGGTGGCTTTTTCCAACTCTAGAAATTGTCTGGCTTCTCGTATTAATGGATTGTCTGTATATCCTTAGATAAACTTCCCACCTGTTACCTATCATATTTTTTTCATTGTCTCTAAACTTTATTTCTTCAACCAAATTGATAACAAACTTCCATCCTTCGTGGACACGGAAGTAGGTCAGGTGCTTGAGCTGATATTTTTGACATCTGATATGTGCCAGTCGAGTGTGTGTGTTTTCGCTTAAGACCTGGTTTCGTATTATTTATTTTTCTCCTTTCTTTCCTCTTCCTCTTCTTTTCTTTCTTTCTCCCAGATCGCCTGAACGCAATTAAAGAATTATTCTCAAAACCCAAATATTTTTCAGCTCTAAATAATTATCAAATGGTTAACAAACCGAAAAAACAAATCATATATTTATGAATATCTCTTTTCAGTTTTCTAATTATGCATGGTGCCACAGCGGTGAGAGAGTGACTAAATCCAAGACACCAGGTCAAGAATAAGAATATTAAATTTTATCAAGTCTCGAAATATTTATAGCAGGATCACCGGACCAAATGAGGCAGCAATATTCTAAACACGGGCGAATAGTAGACTTGAAGTTAGGATAGATACAGAAGAGAAAATTGCCTCACTGAACTTTCTTAGCCGCTGACCTAACAATGAATTTAATATAGTTTTTCCACTTCATATCAGCCGAAAATGTTAGCCCGAGGGAGCGCTACGAAACACTCTTCAGGAGGTTAGTATTAGCCGTGCTGATGTCAGGCAGAAAGGAGTCACTTCTCTGAGGCACATTCGGTTAAGGCACGTCTGTATAGGATACAGGTTCGATTCCTGTAGGAGGACCCATATTTTTTATGAAAAATTCTCAGACATTCAGGCCGGTAAATTTTAATACTGTTTATTATCAACGGAACATTTACTTACATAATTGTATCTATAAAAAGAACGTATAAACATAAAAAATGTCTTAACATATATATATATATATATATATATATATATATATATATATATATATAATTATTTATTTAAAAATTATAACATAAATATGTTATAAAATCACTATAAAAATGGCTATTTTGTTTCAACACCTCCGGTGTCTTATCAAGTTATAATATGGAATGTAGATTGTAGAATAATTATTGGTTATTGGAATTTATTCCGTATACACCAATCATATATATATATATATATATATATAGAGAGAGAGAGAGAGAGAGAGAGAGTGAGAGAGAGAGAGAGATGTGGGATTTTATAGTTTAAATTTGGTTCGAAATTATTTATTGTTTTGATCTCTTCTGGGAAGCTGACTGCAAATATTTGGGAACTGATAAATGGCGTATAGTTGCATTTTAGGGTCTGGAATTTTTTCTTGACAAATGGATTCAGTCAGCAAAACCTTCGTCCAAGAAATTCGTTCGATGTTCTGGCATTTTCTCTATCTTAAAGCAACAGATAAATCGAAATTAGTTTTGTTGTTATTTTCTATTTTCTCATTTCCTTTGTAAACCGATTTGCGTTGCCGTGTGTTTTCATTTCTTAGTTCTCACTTGTTATTGTTTCTCGGCTCAGGCGTTGTTTGCTTGAAAAAATAATGAGTTCACCAGCGTTCTTCTACCCTGCACCATTTGCCACTTCTTATATACGGGACATTTTTCTCTCCCCCACCTCATCTTCATCTACGTTTGGTCATCTGTTTCCTACCTTTTATTCTATTTCATTTCTAATTCTTTCTCTATTATTCGCTTAAATATTTTCTTCTCTTCAAAATTCGATTTCGATTCTTTCTTCTTCTTAATATTTTTCTTCTTACAAATCCTCGTGTGTTTTTATCTGCCGTTTAGAAAAAAAATCTTCGTAATGTTTTTTTTTTCTTTCATTATTTATTTCTTTATGAAAAGATTTATTAGATTCTTTCATTCAACCATTTTTCTTTCGTTTTTCTTTGCATTTTCTTTGCTTTTTCTTTTTTTATTCATTTATTTTTTGCTGATGCGTTTAATTTTTTTTCTTTCTTGTGTTCTTTCTTCCTTTCGTTCTTTGTTTTTGTTTGGTTCTTTTTTTTTTCTTTTATTTATTCATTTCTTTCTTTTATTTATTTTGTTCGTAGATTCTATCTTTTTTTTTCTTTACGTTAGTTCTCCATTGATTTTTTTTTCTTTCTTTCTTCTTTTCGCTTATGCGAATTCGTTTTATTGTTCTTTTTTAATCTCTTTGGATTTTTTTTGTTCTTTCTTTCTGTTTTTCTTTCTTTCATTCCTTGTTTTGTTTATTTTGTTCGTTTATTCTGTTTTTTAATTCCTTTGTTTGTTTTTTTTTTGGTTAGTTCTCGCTTCTTTGTTCTTTCTTTCATTCCTTATTTTATTTTTTTGTTTACCTTCATTCCTTTCATTCCTGTTTTTCGTTTCGATGGACGGGATTTCTATGTGATTCGTTTATTTTTTAGGCTTTTTATTTCTTTATATTTCCTTTCTTTCTTTCTTTCTTTCTTTCTTTCTTTTTTATTCTTTCTTTTTCATTTTCATGTTTATAGTTGTTGTATTAGTTATCTTTATTTTCCTTTTCCTTTTTGTCTATTTGTCTTGATCCTTCTTTCTTTCTTTCTTTCTTTTGCTTCTCTTTTCTTTGTTTTTAATATGGAGCAAAAATTATTTTATAAGTACTTATATAAGGTACTTTATAAAAAAAAACATACGCACAGATTTATAAAAGTGCGCGAATATGTGCAGGGGGCGGGTGTACGTCGACTGCAAGCAAGTTATCGCATATCATCAGTGAAATTAATAAATAATTCAACTGCTGGGCTGACATTATTTCGCATAGTTTATTATTCTCCTTGCTTTTCTCCCTCATATAAATGGGTGTCGGTCTCCAAACGTAAATTCCCTAAATGGGAATCATATAAGTGATACGAACGAGTAGCTGGAATAGTCTGTGTTTACTTGCGAAAGATTTGTTATATTTAAATATGTGGAATTAGTAATTCCTAAAAACTAGAAGTACTTCTAAGTACCTCGGTTTTTGATTAAGTAATATTTTTCCCGACACTCAACCATTTGCGGATTATTTAAAGCCAAAAAAATATTGTTTTATTGTAACAGTTTTATGAATTTAATGATTTTACTAATACAGGTTCTATTAATTAACCCATAGTTAGTGTGAGAAGACGCAGATGCATACTTTTGTCAATGCTATTCGCGCGGAACGTGACTGGTATTGGAACTCGGCTCTACTATTTCCAATTACAATCCATTATCGATTACACCATCCGAACATCCAAGCTTACAGTACCTGGTATTCTAAAGCTGTCACCCACTAGATACAGACTCAACATTGCTTAACCAAGGACATCTTATGGGAATCTGTGTTTCAACCTGATATTACCTTAAGCCTATTTTACCCCCGTGCATGGATCAGTTATAAAAACAATAGTTTGGTTTTATTTATTTTGTTTTCCGTCACATCAGCACCTCAGTGGGTCATTTAATGCCGACAAGAATTTTTAGGATAGGTTATTTGTAAGAAATCAGTTTGTAGATCAGGTTTCATTAACGTATTTCTGTAAAGAGTGTTTTTGTCGAGAGTCAAATGTATTACTGTAATATTTTGTTTCATAAATATATTACTGTTATTTTTTATTATAAAAATATATTTTTATACTTTCATAGTGTTTTGATCCCTGTTTGTGGATTAACTATTTGACCATAATTGCGACCTTAAAAGATGCTACCAATCCAGGTCGGGGTGGATCTAATAATAATAGCAATTAAGAGATGGTTCCAAGCTCCTCAAAATATCCCGATAATAGACATTGCTGCTGGATGTAGTTTATCGTCATGCGAAGGACAAACACATTTGGAAAAGGAGATGATATAACTGAACAGACAATACGCGGCTCTATAGAAAGTTTTGTGCAACAGCATATTATACGATAAAAAAATTAACCTAAATCTCATGAACTGAAATAGACTCTTCATATCCAGAAGTCTCTATGGATGCCAAAGATAGCACCAAACTCATTTTGGATTATCTAAAATATCAACTGTATACAACCCCTTTCTCAGATCGATGGTTAAGAATGGTTTCGTGTTATTGAATCAGCAAGGACCATCCTATTCAGAAATTTTAAACAAAATTACAGAATTATAAACAAAAAGACTACCAGTCGCTTAAACGCTTGCAAAACAGCATAATATATCAAGGTACCGAAGATAAAATATATATAGAAGTAAAGTAAGACATTAGAAACAGAAAAAAAAACTATGCACGCAAAACATCTTTTATCAACAGTAAATATGAGAACAGCAAAACCCTTTGTAAACATATATGGGAATTCAAAAACACAAATGAAAATACACCAAAATATAATCAGAAATAAGGACGATAAAAGAAAATGGGTAACATCAAACACAAATTACTAAATAAATGATCAAAACTTATCTCAAAATGCATATACAAAAAAAAATTGTACAAATTTACATAAAAATCGAAAAATAAAAAATGAATATCTTTAAAAACAACATGATGAAAAATGAACATATATGCACTATAGACAACACAGATTATGTAACATGCTTAAGGTAAAGTCAGTACATGAAAGTAAGCAAATAAGATGATATTAACACTGGGTGCCAAATGCTTTATATAGAGGAATTCTCTGACATTTTTCCGTTTTCAGAGTAGCCATGTACAAATTAATATCATTTTAACAGCGGAAATAATGACTTAAAAGCTTTTTAAAATAGAAATATGTTATATGTTATTTAAAAATATTTTTCACCGTGACACGGAAATTTGTATGATTCGTAACATAAAATCCTGTTCCATTTTCAAGTGATATTCAATAATTTCAGATAAAATGATTCATTTTCTTCTGAAGTTATTGAATATCGCTTGAAATGGAAAAAAAATTATCTTCCTAAATATAGAAATTTCCATGTCGCGATAAAAAATATTTTAAATAATAATTCTATAATATTATGATCTACTTTGTATCGAGCACCATTCAAAAAATAAATGATAAAGAACCGTGGATTATTAAACTGAGTGACTCTTCTTTCTTTTTACTTGTATATATATATATATATATATATATATATATATATATATATATATATATATATATATATGTATGTGACGTCACCCCGGCCTCTCTGCCCCCGTGCTATCCTGTGAAGACCAATGTGACTTGGTATTGGTCGCGGCGCCAAATGTGACGTTCTAACCTTGGCTGATTCGGATGGGAATCTGGTTAGATTCGGTATCAGCTTTGTCGTTCCCAGCTCGCCTCCAACGTCTGATTACCGAAGTAACTGCTTTGATTTCTAGTCAAACCTACCCACGTTGTGATTTGATCTTAGGTAGACGAAATCAATCAGTCACCGGGCCGTAATGCAAGCCGAATTCGAGCAAAGGTGACATCGCACAAGTATATGTGAAAGAAAATAAAGTAACAACTCGTAAAGTTCAAATGTGTTAAAAAAAAGCATAACAAATATGTTTATATCTGGTTGCTGAATACAGGACTGCGTTTTCTCCCAAACCGCTAATATGGATACGTGACACTTTGCGTTTGTTAGGCAAACAATATCTTAAATTGTTTTTCAAGAAACTGGTTTTTGGTATATTCAGGTGATATTCGTAAAACTTGCTTTGGTGGTGTGAGTCTAAGTCGTTCTTCAAAAATAAATTGTTTTTGGTTAGAATTCGAAGTCGGAATGCGTGGATCTTCAGTCAGCTTCCTGCGAGGCTGGTCTCAGAGCTCACAGCTCAAGTCTGTCTGCGTCTGCGTCTTCTCGGAACTCTTACGAACTCTCTCGAACTCTGAGTCTACTCGCTGCGACTCTGTTTATATGGACGCCGACCAAAACCGGGTGTGGGCCTGTCGGGGTTTGGGTTCCTCGATAATTCTAAATCCACAATAAGGATTTTCTTTGTTTTCGGACAGGAAAATTTATCACTTTCCATTTTTGGAAGTCCATTACTTTCTTCTTTAGAGGGGTTCTTAAGGGAATCGTCCTCCCAAAGTCTTCCTTTCTCATATTGGTATCTCACACCAATCCCCTCAAAAGGCATCAACAGGTTTCCCTTCTTTCTCATAGTGGTATCTCACACCAATCCCCTCAGAGGCGTCAACAGGACTCCCCTCCTTCTCATATGTTTACCTTCGCCCATTGCTCACGCCACCATTCAGCCAATGAACGCTCAGCAGCGTAGGTGTGGCCAGTCTGGCTTCAGTTTAAAATTATCGCTCAAAGGAAAAAAATATCTTCCTTTATTCTTTTCTTTCTTTTCCTCTACCAGACCCCTACGACTCGTAGTGTGGTCCTTAATCTCTATCTTAACCAAATGTCATCTGGAATTTATCAACGAGATTTCGCCAGCGTCAAATGGGTGGTCAACTGGACGGCTTCGCCCCCTGTCACCAGCGATCTGTCCCGGCAACAAACTTTTATCATGTCCAGGTTTAGATATAAAACAGGTGTCTCTCTCCCAAAACAAATGATATCTCCGAAAGATAGTTAATGATTTATTCCTTCCCCTTCCTTTTTCTTTGGGGGTGGTCGCGATTATCTTCTAGCGTTCTGTTTTGTAGGCCACTTCACCAATTTAAAATTTTCATTATTGCCATGAGCAGATTGTTATCTTTTATTTGCCGCGTCATAGCATAAATTAATTCCGACAGATCCGAGGTCTTACGAATTTCCTATCTTCCACAAAAAAAATACTTTTTTTTTTACAAATGAAAATAAAATCTTTACCACTTTTCTTTGTTTAAAAAAAAAACATCGCTCAGTATGTCTTTCGTGATAGCTTCTTCTCGCCTTAATTATTTCTCGCTTTTAATTTTCACGCTTACCGCTAAATAGTGTCACAGTATACACTACAGTTGAAAAGTTTTAAACAAGCCCCAGTATTGGCATGGGGTGAACTTGATAGAACAGTGAATGAAATATGAATGGAATCCGTAATCAAATTTTTCCTTGGAGAAACTTTTGCAATGAATTCCAAAAACTTGTGCTGCAGTAATCAAGGCTAATGTGGGGTATTTTGACGAGAGCAAAATTTAATCATAAACTATTTTTCTATCTTTTTGGCATAATAAATTTATTAATAAGAAATAACTTTCAGTTATCTCAAGTAAAAAACAACTAGTTTTGGGGCGAATTTCAAAAATTGGCGTCATATTTTTGAAGTGTAGTGTGTGAACATATATATCAGGTTGAAACGTTGGTTCTCGCTTGATCAGTGAAGTTGAGTCATGGTCAATAACTGGATGAAAGGCTGCCTGCTTTCGATACCATGTGCTGTAGTGACAAATTGAAGATTCATGTTAGAATGTCAGTTGTGTTCTTTACATTCTTTTACATTTAAATATCGTTGATAACGGTATAAATCTATTCCTTCCATCATATATGTCGAAATAGCAAGATATACTGGGCCTTAGTTGGAACCCTGTTTACGAGGAAAACTCTGGAGAAGAGCGTTGGCAAAAGACGAGCGAACTATTTATAGGACCCATGGCCAAACTCCATTCAGGAGATTGAAAACCGCTGTTCAAAAATCCTCCTATTGTAGCATGATTTGACATGTTGAACACATTGCATCAGAACAGGGCGTGGTGCTCTGGAACAGAGCGTGCAGACAATAGGGCACTTTTTTCAGTTGTACAGGTTGTTCATTAAAACTTTGCTGAACCCTCATCCATCGTTCTCAACGAGAGAATTCATCCATATGTATATGTGCGAATGTGTTCGTCTTTGTGTATGTGTGTGTGATATAGATAGATAGATAGATAGATAGATAGATAGATAGACAGAGAGGCAGATAGACAGAGAGACAGACAGATAGATGGATAGATTGTTTTAGTCTTTGTGTGTGTGTGTGTGTGATATATATATATGTGTGT